AACAAAGGTCAGTTCTGATGGAAAGCAGCCTTCTTCTGAACTCAAATGTGCAAGTTTGATAAAAACCATGTGTTCTTCCTAACGTTTGTATTGCAATGTGTTCCAGTAGGAATCTCCGTAGCCATATTCAATGCCACATCCAATCTACAAATGCAGCAATACTGATTGGACCAATTGCTGCACTTCTGTCTATGGCATACAATATCTGCAACTTAGTAATATCATGCAATTTTCTGCCAATCTGATTTAAGAAGTATCTAAAGCTGAGAAATAGTTTGCAGTGCTGCAATTATAAGAGAAATGTTCCTACTAGGAAGCAATCAAAATCAGGACCACTTAAAGGAAATGATACAATTTGTTATTGGCCACAGTGATTGAACGAGCTGAGGCATTTCCATTTTCGCAGATTGGGACACCGCTGTCCCGTGTACTGACCTATTGACACAATCAAATCTTGCACTAAGAACAGGTATTTTGCACACATGTCCTTGCTGTAGCAATATAGGGCCAAGCCTTGTCTGTGCATTGATTTGCCAGTGGGACAAGCCATCTGAGTACACAGCCAGAATCAATATGTGTGGGCAAAACAAATAAATCGGTAATCCCTGTACCACTTGGAGTTTAGACTGGGTCCATTTAGACCAGGGGCTGAGGCTGGTCAAGATAGGTTGTCTGGGGAACCAGTTCTTGAAAGAATCCAGGTCCGATCTTAATGCGGTTTTGACCTATTTCTGGAGCCAGGCCAGGAACGCTTTCCAATGAGGGTCTAGAGAGGTTTTGTAGAGAAAATCTAGTTGAGGTCTTTACCAGCAACCAGGCTATCGATATCTGGCATGTCAAATGGTGCAGATGATTTTTTTGGGTGCGAGAAGCTGCTCTTCAACCTAGCTGAAGTGTCTTGGAACTGGTTTTCAAGAATGTAGATCAGTCCTAACTATAGTAACTTTATTGATTATAATAATATGTTGATCATACAATTTAATCCACTCCATGCATGTATATGGAGCCCCTGCGTACTACCATTGTCACATCAAACTTTCAAAGTTGGTTTCTGGTAGACATAATCTTAAAGCAGACGTAGCACCTATGTGAAAGAAGATATTCAAATTTCAATTCCTCAAAACCATGCATCAAACACAGGGCCTGAACTGGTGGTTGGAAATTAGGCAGACATTTTTTGTCTTGTGTAACAAGAAATGACAGGTTTTTACAGCGCTCTTTAGCGCCTGACGTGAAAAGTGCTTCCGGCGATCACGTACAACACGTCCACAGGAAACGGTCCACTCTTCCTGGCCTGGGTAATGTTTGAGGTACTTAGAAATGTTTGACAACAGCATTAACGTGACCTTTAACTGAGATTTAGGTGTATAATAGATGTAGATTTTCCACCTCTAGTGGTCACGTATTACACATCTAGGGCTGAAAGTAACACCTGCTGTTTCTGAATCTGATGTCTACCTACACCTAACCTGCACTGCTCTATGTATTCATGTAGGTACTGGTATTTATCTCTTCCCAGACTTCTTGCCTTACACTGTTTGCAGTTACATTCTAAATTCTGCAGTATAACAGACATAAGATTACGGCAACACCTGAAACATTGTTTTTGATGGTAGAGGAAGAAAATAAATGATGCGGGTAAGATTTCTGTAGCACAGGTAATTTTGTATGGTGCCAGCACATACTGTTTATATCAAAGTATTTCAAACTCTGTCATCAGTTCATCAACTCTCTCTGACACTTGTAGTGTTTGTAGTAGTTTTTAATATTTGACAGCTATAAAATCACCTTTTAAGTACAGTAAGATTTTCATATTCGATAAGCATTTGATCCTCTCTGTGTTGTTTACTTGGTGATAAGTATGTCTAGACAAGTGAGGACCTTGCTGTTTGTTATAAGATAAGCAAATCTTTTTCCTTATTTGTCCATAGTTTTGATCAATAGTATCTACTTGACCTAAAAATAGTCGTTTGCTGCCATGATGGACATTTTTTATGTTCTTTCTGTGTTGTGCGAAAAGGCTTGAAGAGAATACAGAAAACTGAATGTTGTCACCCATTGCTTACTCAAAGTTTGAGTCAAACAGTTCAACCTGTCCACTACTTGCAAGGAGAGAGAAATACTAGTACCCTATGCAGTAGACAGTAGACATCCTATCAATGCAGATTCTAGAAGGAAATCCATATCGATAAGTTAAAAATGCACTTTCTTGGTAGCACCATTTGATAAAAGCCAAAATTGCTGAAGTTTCCCACATTTGCGATGTTTTAGAGTTGAAGCCTCTCTTGACTCAGCATTTATGTCTCTGTTAATTGCCAATCCTAGACAAGTGTATTAGATACAGGAGGCAATCAATAAGGATATGGTTCAGTTTGTCTCCCTGAGGCATAGTAAACCATAAAGTCTCCTACTTTGATTGATTTTTACCTAGAGTACACATGGAGGCAACAGGTACAATGTAACGGGGCAGTCCAGTCGATAAAAGTACATCTCTGATTACACAGTCTGGTATCTGAGTTTCCTGTACTGTTAGGTACATGTACGTGTAGTATTGATTATGCAACTTGTAGCCATAAAGTAAGTCATTACTGGTGATATAAGGTATGGGTGTAATTTGTGGTAGAAGATACTGTTGCAGGCTATGAGCACTTAGTACTTAAAATAGCACGAAGTAATATGTACAAAGTTATAAAACGGCGGTGTAAAAGTTCAACTTGGTCATGAATGTGATTTATGTATGATATAAATCTGTAAGTATCAGAAGTCTTTGGAAATTGTTGAAAGTTAATACAAAAGTTATGGCACTTTTTATTGCTTTATCAATTTTGCTGTGGTCATAGACCATTCATTATATGATTTAAGATATTGATGTTGAGCACTTTTACAGTTACTAAACTTAGCATCAAGAATTCTGCCTTGATTTCGAAGTATTTTCATGGAAATTTACGACAAGGCCCAGCGATAAATCGAGGAAAATGTGCGTTAGCGACAGTGGGAGATTTTATTTGCCGGGCCATGTGTGGAGGACAGTTGCACAACACTGACAAACATTAGTCAAATTTACCCTTGGCGCCCTGACACACCTACAGACATATTTACATTCACCAAGTGTTGATGCTTGACATTTCTAGAGCTAGCAGTGTGGCCTCTTCACTACTCTGTAATTCAGAGTTTGTGACGTCACGATAATTTATAGCTATTGAAAAGTGATGTATGGGCCTGACTGTTGGTGTTTGTTGTGCTTAAGTGTCTTGTTTGCCCACATTTGTTGATATATTTGACGACCAATTACACACAAGATGATACACTTTTAAAACGGAGAGGGATTACAGGTTCATTCATGTCAAGCCATTTGATTGGCATTTTCAGCATTTTATAAGTGTAAATGTGTCTTTCAGACGTTCCCATTGAATATCTTTATTGTTCAGGTGCCTTCAATGCCAAATTGTACTAAATTGTGACATCCATGCACTTACAGTTACATGGTTCAATCCATGATTTCACTCTAGATAAAGTCTAATACAAGCAACAGTACTGAAGGGTGTTCAAATTTAGCTTTATTATAGGCATGCTTTCAATGGATGAAATATGGCATGTACGCTGTGTTAGTCCTAAGATTTACATTACGTGCAAACAGTGGGTTACAGAGAAGTGCTGCATGTTTGAGTAGGCTGGGGTATTGTTTGGTTGGCCTGAAAACGTGTGAAGGGTTGACCAATATTGTCTGTCTCGTTCAAGGGGCAGGCAGGGTTAAAAAAAAAGCCGAAACATCTGAACCTTTTGCAAGACTGTTTGCCTGTCTTTGTAACACTTCACGTAGGGCTTTTAATGGATTAAGAAAGAGTCAGTTCCATTGTGCTATTTCAAAGACTGAAAGAATGATACATTAGACTAGTAGAAGTCGTGATTTCATCAGTAGAAACATAAAGCCTTGGCCTTTTATCCTTAGGCAACAGTTGACCTACAGACTTATATAGAAGTTGTCCTCTGGCCAGGATGTATTTTAAGGACAAGTTATCTAAGGCAGGATGAAATGCATCCAGTACTAGACTCTGTGGCACCCTTTGGCCCATAGATCATCACCCAGAATTTCATACAGAGATGATATCTAGATTAAAAAGTAAGCCTGTGATGACATTTGAAGACATAATTAATTTAATCTCAGGTCTTCCCTGAATCATAAAGGAAGTGATTTAAGGTGATGAATCCTGGAGTAAAATGATTGGATGTGGCTGTGGTATGATTTGGTAAAGGTCTATTGCCAGAGCCTGAGAGTACTCTGTATTTGTGAACGGTTACATTGGTGCAAATGACGAGGTATACGCTGCATAAGGATGACTTTTCAAGGATTCAAAGGAACATTGATTTTTTTACCCTACGGGCATTAAATTCGGAATTTCTAACTTTGATGAGCCGCTGTGTTTTAATTGTCAGAAATGAAGCACATTGATGAATGTGTAATGGTGATTGCTATGGTTCATTAGGACCTGTATTTACCAAATAGGCACAATGTAATGGTTGATGGGACATTGACCTAAATACTACATCAACTGTGAAAGGAAGTCATGGTCTTTCCTTTTGTGAAAACAAAGATTTCAGCCTCCTGATGAAAGAACTCATGAATGTTAGGGAAAGTGTAGATTCTGACTGATATTACTAGTACATGTAGTAGTAAATCCTAGCAGTACTATATCAAAATAGATTATTCTAGTGAATAGCTGTATAATGGTAGGATTAGCATAAAAGTGATGGGCAGTTAAATTAATGAAGTGTTCGGTTTAAATGACTGGAAAGGAAGCAATGGAAGATAGTCAATTTGATCTTAAATCCCAAAGGGCATTCTTTACTTTATATATTTGGGAATGAATTGTTTCAAATAAAATACATAAAAATCTCTTGTATGTCTTATAGAGCCTGATAATGATATGAAAGATGCATTCTGATTGTTGATGTTGTAGAAGCAATAATCTAAGAGGATTTTCATTGTGATTTTGTTGCAGGTTGAAGGCCAACAGGTTCGAGAGCTGTTTGAAGATCTGAAGGATGGCACCAAGCTTCTCAGCCTGCTGGAGATCCTCTGTGGAACAAAATTGGTCAGTGTCTGCGTTTCAGACTGTGGACTTACAGTTAGAAAGTTTGTTCTTAGCCTAGCGTGATGTAGCCCCCCTCCCCCAATTGGTTGCCGCTACTAATCTGATGGCATGGCACCCAGGCTAAGCATGATGAGGAAGGAACTTGTAAGTTCATAGGGGTACTAACAGGGGAAAAACTTTGGAGCAGGTAAAAAGGCACAAGTCAGGAAATTTGACAGCTCTGAGATAGATTTTTTATGCCAAATGAACATTTTTTTTTTCATTGTACATTTTGTACTTGTTTTGCACACTCTTTTTGCATGTGTTTTGGACTCTAACAAAGTGTCATCCAACAAACTTGTATCTCAAATTTGCATCTCATTGAAATACAAGTATTTTGGATGACACTTCCTTTTGTTTTTGATGGGCAAACCTAAAATCTTTGTCCCCCCTTCTAAAATCAGATACTTTATTGTTCGTGTATCAATGATTTTCCCTTGTGCTCTTTGGACCTTTCTACGTGATCAATCTACAACTGATATGTGTGAAAAATGGCCACATCATATCGGTAAGCTAAACAACACTTTATCACGGCTTCATCGAACTGTATCCCTGAAAGAATTGGGACGACTTTGGCTTAGCAATTAAGCCCCAGGAAAGTACTGACATCCATCTGGCTCTGCTAGCACCTGGAATGTGGGACAATTAGTACTGGGAACAGCCAGAATGTGAATCTGGAATTCCTTAATTGCTAAGGAAGGTTTTGCGTTTGTCTCACGAAAAGTTTTAAGATGATCTCCTGTCAGTCAGTGTGGTATGGTATCAGGTTTGCTGGTGTCACCAAAGAGAAATAGTTTTATTACTTTATACTTATTAATGGTGACAGCTGAAGAATAATTATAGCATGTATACCTATTGTAGTCTTCAATATTTAGCTGGCAAATTCATCATGAACTTTCAGGACTTATACAAACTTTTTAATCAGTATGCAAGAGCTGAGTTTTCTTCCTTCCTCTGCAATATTAATTAATGGCCATCGTAAGAAATTCCAGACAACGTTCATCTCCTGCTGGTACACACAAAGCAAGATTTGACCAATTACAATGACCTCTTTGACCCTGTGTAATCTTGGTGCCACCAAGGCCCAAGCAGTATTGACTTATTTATATGTCTCTTCCAATAACCCCGTTTCCAATGTAGATGAGCTAAAGATTTTGCAGTGAACTGAAGTCTAATTGTTGTCTGTGTCACCTTGAGGTCATGGAGGAGATCTGTGATCTACAACAATGATTAATACCTCAATTGTAACATTATATTGTCTCTATAAACTTGAGAAATTGTTGAAGAATTAATTTCTGATCCTAAAAGTCTCTTCGTGAACAAGTAAATTTTCTTGCTCAGCAATATTAAGAACAGGAACTGTTAATTTTCTCGAGGTGTGCAGAGATTTACTCTCAGCCTAAGTCCCAAGAAACATTGGAGACTTGCAAAGTGCCGACACGGAGACTTGATATACTGTAATGTTATTAGGTAGAGGATTTCTTTATTGCTCCCTGTCCCTATGTAGATTATGAGGAAATCACTCAGCGCAATCAGTCAAAGTGGTCCCCCTGGGTAAATGTTATTGCAGCCAGTAGATATCACTGCTTCCTTTTACAGTCTACGGTTGAGGGCTGTTTGTGACAATCCATAAGGATTATATGGAGACCGAGTAGTTTGCGCTGTCCCAATTTCACTTCCTTTACCCATTTAATATGCCGCGCTCTAGCTTGCCTCTGCCTGTTTGCACTGGCAATGCAGAGTGGCAGTGAATACGGTGTAGGTAAGGACTTGAGTTCTGGTCACACTTGTTGTGTAAATTGCAAGCTGAGGGCAGTATTGGGATAATTGTGTACGTGTCATACAAAATTCAGCTGACTTGTTACCGAAAAGATCCTTGCTGGCGGTGTTTCTGTCACAAGCTGCTTTCAAATTTGTGTGACGATCTACAACACATTTGACAGTGCCATTACAGCAAACAACTAACTTGTCTGTCAGTTTGTGGTGACTTCTGTGATGTCCTTACTGACAGGTAAGTACGATACATGCTCGTGAAGAATGGTATGTCCAATCTGTAATGCTTGCCCCTGTTGTGCGGAATTAACGCAGTACCATTTCATTTTCTTCCTCCAGGCTCGCGAGAAGGGTCGTATGAGAGTACATTACCTGAATAACGTCAATCGAGCACTGCAAGTACTAGACAAGCATAACGTGAGTATACCTCTACCTTCTTGGATTGTCATGTCATAAGAAAGGTAGCCCATCTTCTAAATTTTGTAAGAAGGCATATCCAAGGTGTCTTGAAGATAACACTAAACATTGAACATGGTATAAGTGAAAATCATTTCTTTATAAACATTGACAGAAAAAGAATTTCAAGTGGAGAAAAAAAGCTTCAGGAAGATTTAGATTATGAAGCTTGAATGACATTGTTTGAAATCACAGGTAAAAGGCATTTATTATTGAAAAATCTGTAGCTCTATTTCTACAGATTAGCTGGGTTTAGCAACATTAATTAACTTAAAGAAAAGCATAAATATCTATTTATCAGTTTTTTTTAGTGTCATAAGCCAGCCAACTACATTTTCAGATAAATTGCATATGTGATCCACAAAATCCAGTTCGTCTGGCCTCAGATGTCTTCACTAGTCTATAAAAGTGCAGGCCTGAGTGCCTGTGGAAATAGGTCAGCAGACGAGAAGAGGTGTGATTAAAATCACCAGGTCCTACATTCTGATAAATGATCAATATCCAGACAGGCAAAGCCATATGCCCCCACCTGCCTATTGAGCGACTTGCAGGAACTGGTAAATTGAAATTTCATACACAACACTAGTTTGAGAAACCCTGCAAATACCTCATGTAAGGGGAACGCATAGCTCAGGTAAACCATTTCAAGTTGCTCAAGTAAGCCGTTTCACACTTCATAAACCAATGTTCTGCCAAAATGACTGACACCCCCAGAGAATTCTGTCAAATGGTTGGCATGCTCGAACATGGATATTGAACTGGAAGAGGCCATAAATGATGGTATGTTCTTACAGAAAATTACGGAAGTTTGAATTACTTTGGTTGCTCAAATTAAGATAAGTTTGCTGCACAAAATCCAAAGCTTGCAGTATTGATTGAATTTGTGATGAAAATAACAGTAGTAATGCAATCGGAAAACAGAAGATTATGTTTGAAGTGTAGAGAAAACCTTAAACTTAAAAGCACCACAAAGATTACAGAATCTGTGGTATCTTAGAGCTGTTCATCGTGATTGTATTGACCAGCTCTGTTAAAGATTTCTCTTCAGTGGGAATGACAAAGAGTTTGGCTCCTATGGAGAGACAAGATCTAATTTCTGATCCAATTTCCATTGCCATTTTCAATTTGCAGTCGAAGGCTGAGGTTTAGCATGGGTGCTTAGTCTTGGTCTCTCGCCAAAGGATTCCAGCAGCGTGCTTCAATCCCGCTGACCAGTTGGTCCTCGATTTGATCGATTTTCCATTCATCTGGATCATAACAACTGGCCGTTCAGGCCGCTAATAGACGATCGCTTGTGAAAGTAATAGCTGCGGCCATTGAAGTTCAAGTGCTGATATGTTATTCCACGTCTGATGAATTGAGAACCTTAGCCCGGGATTTGGGGCAAATGTTGTTTTGGAACCGGATACATCGGAAGAGGATGTAATATCCGTATTTCAATGTCTTCTTTGTTACTTCGTTTCTGCCAAAGTAAATGCTTTGTACCTTTGTTCCAACAGATGGGAACGGGTAAAGCTTGATTTTTTTGGCAAAGCCGAACTTCCTTTCAAAAGTTAGTTGTAAATTCCATGTGAAGGTGTAGCATTTCTGGGAGAAAAAATGTTCACAAAGCGAACCAATCTTCTGCCCAAATGAAAGGAATTTTTGTATTCCTGCTAAAGTCTTACCCTAAGCCGAAAGCATTATTTCTCTTCTGGTTGGTTCTGTCCCAGACTGGTTGAATATTGTACTGAATCAAAAGGATCCACGACAAATGTGGTCCTAATCCATAGATCATTTCATCTGACCGCACCATAAGAGATATCATCAAAGGCATGGTAGTACAGATGTCAAACTTCATATCCTGTCTTCAGGCCTTACTCCTTACCAGGAGTTGGCTTTTCTCCACCTTTTCCATTTCCCCAATTGGTCCCTGAGGATTTATAGAAGTGGCTAGTGACACAGGGAAGAAGCCTGGTCCTCTTGCCAATGTCTACTGAAGCACTTCCTCCTGTGCCCTGTCAGTCTGGTCTATACATCTTCCCTAGGCAGTAACACATGGGTAGAACAGATCCCTTTTAATTAAACCTGGATACAAGAAGTCAGGATGAAATAAAAGGTGGCTATGAGGGTATGGTGGAAAAGTTCACACGAGAAAATACTGTCTGCTTGCAAATGCAAAATGTTCCCCCTTCAGTATTTCAGATTTTTGACAAGAGGCTCAGATTTCTGACGGAGTTCAGGAAAGCATGGTTTAATTCTGTATGTTACTGTATGTTATAATAAAACTTGTTGTACAGATTCAAATCTAGCTGATAATGTGTATTTCCATAAACTGTTTGCAACCAGAAATTGCAAGGTAAAAATAAATCACTGCATGCCACAACATTGGCGATATCTAAAATATGATTTGACATGCCATATGTTACGTGTCCACCCATAAAGGAGTAAACAGTAAATTGAGATCTAAGCCTCCAACTGCCATTAATCAGATTGGAATACTTTAATTCAGGAGGGGATGTGATACAGTATCAGCAGCTATCATCAGGAAATCTGTGGCCTTTTGAAGTATAAAGACATTAGCAGACTGGGATGGGTAAGGACTTGTAATGACAAGGTCAAGGATAAAAGCACATGAGAGGGATTGATGTGTCAAGATATGGTTTGTTATTACATGCGGTACTTAGTATGGAACCGCCTCTCTGGTCTATAGTGACGTAAATGGAGGCAGTAGGGCATTGCTGAATATTCATTGCTTGTGTGTGACAAGGTTTGTTCTTTTGCAAGTCCTCTCTATGTCATTATTTTGTGTTTTCTCATGAACAATCTTAACATTCAACTTGATCTTGACATTTTCCAAAGTTAAGTCAATCACTGACAGGGTCTTGGTTTAGAGCATACTTTTTTATTGTGTACACACAAGCTTAATGTGTCTCTCTCTCTTCAATGTTTCCACAGGTTAAGTTAGTTAATATCAGTAGCAACGATATCGTAGACGGGAACCCCAAGCTGACTCTGGGCTTGGTTTGGAGCATCATTCTCCACTGGCAGGTGAAGGATGTTATGAAAGACGTGATGGCTGACCTACAGCAAAGTAACCTGGAGAAGACTCTCCTCGCCTGGTGCAGGCAAACCACTCAGGGGTGAGTCAAGGAATGAATGAATGAATGAACAAATAGATGGAGGAAGGAAGGAGTAGTTTTGTCTTGAAATGTTTTGTGACATACAGTACTGTTATGTCCAAAAGGTTAGAAGTAAATGGGTAGTTATGAAATTTTTGAAAAGTATGTAAAGATTGTGTTTTGTAAAATAGTTTTGTTTTGGCATGTTTTAGTTACTGTAGATTGATGTTTGTTTGTTTTTCTCTTGCAGGTATAGAAGTGTAGACATTGTTAACTTCACTAGTAGCTGGAGGGATGGGTATGCCTTCAATGCACTCATCCATAAGTACAGGTAAGTCTGTTGCATTGTACTACAGTTAGTTCTGATAACATTTTGTCGTTATGATAACTTAATTCCCAGTAGTAAAAGTCTTTCATGTAAATCATGATGATAGGAATAATGACATGCAGGAAAAAAAGTTGTGCTTGATTCTGACTACCACTAGAATTATCTATATCTGTACTATACAATGAATATGGCACTTTGTAAAGAACAGACTCCATTGAGCAACTCTGTTGACCAAACCTTGTGTCTCCCTTCCCTCCCCAGGCCAGACCTGTTTGATTATAATATCCTGTCCAAGATGGGCACAGAGAAGAGGTTGGACCATGCCTTCAAGGTGGCCCACGAGCACCTCAACATTGACAGACTCTTGGATCCTGAAGGTTAGATCACTTTTCTCCGTAATTTCTTGTAACTGTATTAGTGTAGCCGGTATAACCGCCCTTCGGCGTAACACAAAAGCTTCACAGGCACGCGGCATGGCAGCAGCTAGCTATATCACACCGAACGACTTGTTACACTCAATCTTTGCACATTTAATTGGAGGAGTTGTTTAAAGCTTTCCAGTGATGATGCCCCAACTGTGCTTGGTGGCAACAACTGTATCTATCTTAGTTGAATACCCAGTTTTACAAGCAAATGCCTAGTGTGAATGTGAGAATCCAACTTCCACACTGCATGGGGAGTCAGACTTTGAACATCTGAAAGAACACACCACTGAAACATGTTAAGAGCTTGTTGTTTTGTAGGTTTTAAATTTCGTGCTAGGGAATGGCAGCTTAGCTCAAATCTTCAGAGCAAGTCCATGCAGTATTTCAGTTATGCAGTCCCTAGAGGAGGTGTCAGCTGCAACATGGCATGAACTTGAAACATCAGCAAAGAAAGACACAATATACCAACTTCATGGAAAAGACATAATATTTTGAAAGTCTCAACAGTAGTTTTGAGCAGGGATTACATCATAAACTGTGACATCACATCTGTTTACAAGAATGTAAGATTATGTAAAGAACCTTTGGCCTAAATAATATTGGAATCAAGTAACTGTAACCCAGTACCTTCAGGGACAAGTTCAAGCAGATGGTATTTGTCTGATAACTTGGAGTAGGCAGGGGTCAAGGCAATGGAAATGATAACACCCCTCTAATGAGTTACAGACAACCTTGAGCCTAGATTTGCAGGAGTTAGGCAGAGTCATGTGTGGAGGAAAGATATACAAAGAAAGAAACAGTGGTGCCAGCCAAACTTGGTGTTATTTGAGAGACATAGCATTGGCAAAGTAAAGGTGCTCTGGGGACAGGCTCAAAAAGATTGTAACCCTTTCCCTACTAACTTACACTGTAAGGATTTAATCATCTTAGATGAAGATAGTGTCTAGCACCAGTTGCCTCCAGCCTTTTGTGTCTGATACAAGTTTGTATAAATGAGCCCACAGGTATAAGAAATTATGAAATTTGGAAAGTTTTCCTTCTACAGTAAAGTTACTTTTTTTTGCTACAACTTCATTTTCATGTTAATATTGAAGGCTTATGCATCAGTTGTATGAAGAAAACCTTAGATTTAATCATGATTGTTTTTGTTTTTGTGACAGATGTGAATGTGGAAATTCCTGACAAGAAGTCCATCATCATGTATGTGACGCTGTTCTTCCAAGTGTTGCCGCACCAGAAAATCACCCAGGAGGCCATGCAGGAGGCCTTGGAGGTGTCTGCGCCAGGCTATGCTGCCAAGCAGGTTTGTAGTATAATTTTACATCTTAAATCTTTATCTCAGTAACACTTTGAAGCCTTTAACTCTACGTAAGGTGTTATGTAAGGTGGTGGGTGCAGAATTTCATTGTTTATTAATTGTGGGTCTTATGTGATACCTCTTTATACTGCTCTCAGTGCTATTCTCTCAGATTGGTTGCCAGTTTCATAGAAAAACCTTTAAGGCATTCTTTACCCCTTCTTGCCAAAATGACAGATTGATGAATATTGAATTTGAGATTAATACAAACCACTTGTTTCCTATGTAGTATTTCATCAAAGTAAAAGGTTTTGGAAAGTGTGAATGATTGCAACTCTTCAAACGTTTTTGTCTCTGCTCTGATGGGAAAGCACTGAAAGCCAGGGGCAGTGTTGAAGCTGTACTGTAATTCTTGCACAATTCCACAGAGGGCGCTAAAGACTGTGAGCAACAAGCAGGAGACAGAAGTATTGGTGGATGGTACCGTGACCAAAACCTCGACGGTCACCATCCAACGGAACGAAAGCCAGGTCGTGGTCAAACAGGAAGTAGTGACCACCAAGGTCAAACAACAGGAAGTGAAACAAGAAGTTCACGTCAAACCTGAAGTACATCAAGTCAAACAAGAAGTTCAGCAAGTCAAGGTTATTCAGCCAAGGATTTCTGATCTCTCCGTGTGTTTTTTCCTCCCATCTTTCAGTCCCTATCCCCGAGGCTTGTGAAGGTCACAGAAAGTCCTTTTGAATTGAGAGACCTCCTTAAACGAGTCTTAACACTTTGACATATTCTTCAAAGGATTGCCAAAAGCTAGTTTAGTCAAAGTTTGACAGATATGTTGCCATTTTCAATATTAAATTCTTTCAGTTTTTGAAATATGGACAAAATTTTGTACTATTCTGAACTGGTTTGTCTCAAAATCATCTTAAAACATTTGGTTTACCAAAAGAAGTTGAAACGTTTCCAAGTGGACGACCTGCCGAGATGACCTTCACTTGCCCTTGAATGGAGTCTCTCATGGCCACTTGTTTTTGCAGCCCTCACCCTCCATTCCAGTGGTGCGTTCTTGTGCTGTGGGGTGCCGACAAAGCCGTCCTGTCGCCTCGTCTTGCTCCTGTCACTGCTGCTGCTGCTCTAGAGCGTAGAAACTGCCGCGTCATTTTTGCCTTCGCTCCTGTTTCGCAATGATGTTGCAATTTTGCAAACTGTCGTACATCAGACTAAATGAATCCTCTCATGCATACTTCATACCATGCCAAATTTGAATGATACCAAAAATACCAAACCCATATTGAAGTCCATGTCCTGCTACCTAAATCTGGTTTTAATTCATTAAATTAAATAAAATTTCATTGTTGTTCTTCAAATAATCAGAATGCTGTTGAATTAAGAAAAGCCATATTGTGCCCAATGTACTATTAAGCCATTTACACCAAATATGAAAGAAATCACAAGGTCCAAAAGGACACTTAATCGCTCATGATATATTACACTTTTGGAAAACTTTGAGCAGATTGTTTGCTCCTCATGCTTCAATAAATTATTTACAGTTAAAACAAAAAGTTTGAATGAAAGTTAGTCTGTGATGGTGTAAAGATTTGTACATTCAGGTCAATTCCAAACTGAAGGATCAGACTGATCAAAAGCTTTTAATTTTGAGTTTGGAAATTGAGTATAAAATCCTTGTACAGTCTTAGTGATGAGTTTTGGTGTTGTTTTTGTTGTACAGCAGACTGCGGGCGCCCCCCGTGCAAGCCCTGCCCGCCAGCGCAGCGGGGTGGACCTGGGAGCGTACCAGAACGCCCTGGAGGAGGTCCTGGCCTGGCTGCTGGCTGCCGAGGAGAAACTCCAGCACCAGGGAGACATCTCTGACCTGGTGGACGATGTGAAGGACCAGTTCCACGAACACGAGGTAGGGGTCTTGGGTCTCATGTTTTGGGTTTGCTGTACTTACATTTTACTTGAGAAGACAGCTAGACTATCTCAACAATGCATTCAGCTTGCCATCTTATGACAATTGTAAGTGATAGGTGCAATGGCCAAGTGAGTAGAGTGTTCGCCTTGCATTCAATAGGCGATCCCCGACTGAGTCATACCAAAGACTTTAGTACTGCTGTCCCTGCTTTGCCTGCACTCACCATTTGGTAGAGAATATGGTAGTAAACACACACCACTACAAGTGGACTAGCCCCCCGCTGTAGTGATTGCACTACTGTGTGGCCCAAGGGCTATTGAATCAGAGATGGGTGCCGCCCTATGCACCACTTTGTGAAGGAAGAAATTTTTAACAGCATATGTGACCAGGCCCTAATGAAATACACTTAGCCTGTAATAAGGTCCCCTTATGTAATCTGAAGCTGATGATCCCTGTTGTTGGTACTTGCAGAGTTTCATGATGGAGCTGACGTCTATCTCAAAAATGCATTCAGCTTGCCATATTACAATGATTGTATGGCATATGTGACCAGGCTTCAACAAAAGCTACTTAGCTTGTAATAAGGTCCCCTTTATCTAATCTGAAGCTGATTATCCCTGTTGTTGCTGCCTGCAGAGTTTTATGATGGAGCTGACGTCGCACCAGAGCCGTGTGGGCAGCGTGCTGCAGGCCGGGAACCAGCTCATCATGGAAGGGAAGATCACGGAGGACGAGGAGAACGAGATCCGAGAGCAGATGAGCCTGCTGAACAGCCGCTGGGAGGTCCTCCGCGTACAGTCCATGGACAGGCAATCCAAGTGAGAAGCTACTGTTTTTGCCTACTTCCTTATACTGTAGAACCCTATTAGATGATAGCTTAGATGCATGGAATATATGGAAGAAAGAGAAGTAACAGTACAAGCAGGGCTCTAGTCAGCACCAGTTTTTCCGCCAATTGCAGGAACTTTAAGGTGTGTGACGGAAATTTTTTTAAACCAATCTGTCAACCTTGATGGACAAAATTGACAAAAACCTTGGGTAAAAATATAACAACATCCAAAGGACCATCAACAACTTCTCTCAACCTCATGGTTTGCTTCTCAAAATGTGGGAAATTGCATTTTTAGATGCTTTGGAGTGATTTCATATTGGAGTGAAGATTGTGGGATCTACTTTTGTACATTGTTCTGCAATAGCAATATACCTTAATGTTATTGTGTACTTACCTGAATTACACCATTTAAAGATTCTGATGGTCTCTCACAGCTGTTATATTTCACTGTAAGATATCATTTCCACAGACACTGCATTAATGTACTGGTGGTCTCACACAGATGTTTCCATTCACCATGTCCTAATGTTCGTTCCACTGTTGTGTTTGACCTTCAGGCTTCACGAGGTGCTGATGAACTTGCAGCAGAAGCAGCTGGACCAGCTGGACGCCTGGCTGTCCGGCACGGAACAGAGGATCAAGGTCATGGACACGCAGGGCATCGGCCCTGACCTTGACCAGGTCCGCAGGCAGGTGGAAGAACACAAGGTAGGTTGCCATGATGTTCCTGAAGGTCATTTGAAGGATGCTAAGACAAAACAAGTGAGTTTCATGTTTAAAGAGAGGGTTGTGGTGATAGACAGGACAGTGGTGATCAAATGTTGAAATCAGTTTCTAAAAGTTGAGACAGTGTAATCCTCATCTATGTCATGATTTTATATGTCAAGATTTTCCATCTCCTTCTGCATCTCTACTCAACTCTATACAAGTCATTTTGGTACGGCTGTAAGAGGTATGTCAGACAGTATAGTCGACGTCTGAGGCACACAGACAGAGACAGATTAGTGGGGGTGAGATGAGTATTTCCTTGTTTGTTGTGTATACTGGTTTTGCTATGGGGTCACACATACCAGCCATACAAGTCAAAGACACGTGGAGTCCAATTACTGTAAGCCATGGCTTTGGCCAAAGGCAAAGCAACAGTGTCTACCAGCTGTTTGTTGTGTACACAACTCTTAAAGCAATTTCTGTCACAGAAGGCTAGCACCGTGGTGTCTTTTGACATGCAAGATGAAAGGCAGGGAAAGATAAAGATCTGTTCCAGAGAAGTTTTTTTGGCTAGAACTGTAAAACAGGTGGTTGGCACCACATTGAATACTTGACATGTTTCTTCCTTGCACAACCGTGTTGTAGACCAAGGCCAAACTATGAATAGAAGTGAGGTTGATGATTTGCAATCCTCTGAAAAGACTTAGAGTAGTACTAACAGTGAGTCTGTGAACACATCTGGGAAGAGTAGGAGCAAGTCAAACTTTTGCCTGCAAGATTTGCTGGAGTTGTACTATGTACTACTACGCACTGGGAGCAAAGCATTGTGTATTCTGACTCTTCTCTACCAAAGATCGAAAAAAGACAACTGCTTTTCTGCAACTGTCTCCATACACCCTGTAGTAACATGTGCAAGAAAGGTTTCCAATAGAGGAAGAAAGTACATGTTTTAAAGGCTTAAAATGAAATTTTCTTGTTTTCTTCCAGACCCTTCAGGAGGGCCTGGAGACCCAGCAGCTTCAGGTGAACTCCCTGACTCATATGGTGGTGGTGGTAGATGAAAACAGCCCTGAGAACGGTTAGTGATGACTGTGCACAGTCAAGTGTGGTCTGACCCCTCAGCTGTCCTGCTGATGTGATGTACATCTTGTAGACCTTCCCTCTTAGAGATGTGTCTGTGTCCATGTATTTTCTGTCTAGTAAGCTTTGTATGTTTGCATGTGAGTATACCAGGAGGAAGATAACTAGTCTGATGACCTGTAAAGAAGACTGTAATGCAAAGCGTCCGTGACATTACCTTTTCTTTGAGGCTAGATAACTCCAGGAGCATTCTGTGTATTCTTTGAACAAAATGGACAAGTTTTTTGTTGTGTGCTTTCAATATAAGTTTACTAATGACAACCCCAGCACTAGGAGACCTGATACAGGAGCAGATTTGATGCTTATTGTGCCATGTCCCCTTCCAGCACAGCTCCAAAACCACTATGTCTGACTGGATAGAATTTTTGTCAACTTACCGTGACCATGTTCCCTCCAGCCACCCAAGCCCTTGAGGCACAGCTCCAAAACCAGTGTCTGTAGCTTCCTGGATAGAAGTTTATTCATTAACTTACTGTGACCATGTTTCCTCCAGCCACACAAGCCCTTGAGGCACAGCTGCAGAACCTTGGCGAGCGGTGGGCCTGGGTGTGTAAGTGGACGGAGGACCGCTGGATGGTGCTGCAGGAGGTCCTGGTGCGCTGGCAGGTCTTCAACCTGGAGCAGATGGACTTCGACGACTGGCTGACCGACAAGGAGGGCGCCCTGCAGACCATGCAGCATGCCAACCTCAACGATCCCAACGTCATTGTTGCACAGGTCAAGAAACTCAAGGTACGAAGATGATGAAGCTTGTATGGAAACTTGTATTAGATTGAAGCTTCTTTGCATCGTAACAGTTTAGGCTAGAGACTTTTGTAGGAGTTTAGGATAGAGATTTTACCTTCAAAACACTTTTTTAACTAATACTTAAAATGTTGTATTCAGAAAAAAACATCAGGAGGAAGTCTGTCTTTTTTGGTGTGTTGTTCATTTTTTTGCTCATTTGTACCATAATGTTGAAATGAAATGTTGCCCCCCTCCCCCACTTGTAGATCTTAGAACACGAAATGGAGGCGAAGCAGCCGACCTTCCAGGTGCTGAGTCAGAAGGCTGCGGAGGTGGTGCAGCACCTGGACCGCTCCTCCTCCGCTGTGGAGGGCATCCAGGGCAAGATCGAGGAGTTCACACAGCGCTGGGACGCCATCGTCCAGAAGATGGAGAACTACAGTAAACTGGTAAAGACGTTGTTATTGCTCGGATGGAAACTTGACGAGCATGTCTGCCATGTTGCATCCCTTTGTGTGCACACAACTCTACCCTCTGACTTGTTCTTATTCTAGTGTTGTGCAGTCAAAATTGGCAAAGGTGAATGCTGAGGGTACCCTTGAAATCTGAACTATGAGTACAAGTGGTCACTATACCAATGCTTGTGTCGAAAGTACCACAATAAAAGTGGTTAAAGTGGCCAATTGATCCTTACCTTGAGATGGTCACCGTACTGGTTTGGCTGTATGTCCAATGTATTGAGTCCCTGAAATAGATTGCCCTCAACAATAACAATACCAGTTGGTGGTTGACTCCTTCCACCCTTGTCTAACTTCCTTGTGACATGTCTTGTGTCTCCTGTGTGTCTACAGGGTTATTTGCATGCTGGCATGCATCTGGTGAGGCAGTTTTTGCTCATTCGCTGCCTTTTGCATGGAATTAAGTCACTGCATTGGTCTTTCTGCACATTTTGAAGTAGAAGCACATCAAATTCTACCCCAGTGCTATTTCTCAAAACAGTCAGCACATTTTGTAATTGCATTTTCAAAAACTGACCAAATCTCATAGGCTCAAGTTGGAAGCAGTACTCTCTTTTGCCCATTTTTTAACATCTTACCTTCTGTGCCTGCACAGTCAACATATATTGAGCCATTGCTCACTTAGAGTAGAAATGTAGTCTTCACTGTTTTGTCATTACATAAATTATCTGCATTGAGCACACCTCAGGGCAAGCCTCAACATGACTGCATGTTTTCCAAAATTGTTCCAGTATTCAACCTGTACTCTAGTGACAGCTGTCTTACTTGTGGAGTCTGTCTTTTGCTGGAAAAGGTTTCATTCCTGTAAGTCCGGTTTTCTACATGTAAATGTCTGCGACCCTGCCTGGCTGCACACTCCCAGTGATACAGAAGCACTGGTACTAACAGGTTCTCCTTCACTCCGCTGCTCCTCCCTGCTTTACTGACGCCACATGTGTTATACAAAGCTCTCCATCCCGCAGATGTCTGCCTCGGCCGCCGTCCCCAAGAAGACCACCACCATCACCGAGACGGTCACCAAGATGACGCAGAAACTGACCCAGAAAGCTCCTCCGCCACCACCACCTAAGAAACCTGTGAGCCAACAGAGACGGAGGTATTGTGATGTCCCTTTCATTGTTTTATCATCAGTCGTGCAATTAGATACTGATACTTTCCAGCATTATTAAAGTAACAACAATTATAATTAAGTTTTAAGATCACTAGAAAACTGAGTTTCCAGATTCTAGATTTATTTTTTTCATTGATCTTTTATGGTCTCAAAGTCTGTGTTACAATTGCTTTAAAGTTTTACAACCAATATTATTGTTTTAGCATGGGTGCTGATACTTTGTAAAAAGTTTGTTGTAAATGTGCACTTATTTTCTCGCGAGTACAAAGGTTGACTTGCTTTTCTTGTGGCAGGTTTGAGAGTGAGATCACAACACTTCTTGCCTGGATCGACGACACAGAAACCCTGCTGTTGTCTCCTGCCTACACCAACCCCGCTACCTCAAACAGCCTGCAGGCTCAGACAGACAAGTTTAACCAGCTGGACGAGAACATCATGTCCTACCAGGGCCGCGTACAGACCATCCAGGAGACTGGCGTCACCCTCATCGAAGAGGAGGACGATAAGATCCAGCTGGAGACGCGCCTGAACACGTTTATGGAGCGCTGGAACGAGATCTGTGTGTTGATCAACGACCGGAAAAGGAAGCTGCAGATGGCGCGGTTGTGTAAGCAGTTCTACACGGAGCTGGAGGTGCTGAGGGAGGTCACCGGTAAGAAGATGGCGTGGCTACAGGAGCAGGACAAGCCCAGCGACGATGCAGTCAAGATAAAACAACAGATGGATGAACTACAGGTGAGCGAGGAGATGTGTATGTGCTGGTCCAGTTAGAAAATTTTAGGTTTTAAAGGGACAAACAGCACATTTATGAAAATTCAATAAGGGTAAGAAGTGACCTTAACTAGCCCTCGGCAAGATTTTAAATGGACTAACCCTAAGTCATAAGATGTAGCACAATTGCCAATAAGTCATGGTCTGAAAGAACTTTTGAAGTTTATTTGCGGACCAGCTGTAGCTAATGCATTAGATACAATGCACATGAATAGCGCCTTCTGTAGAAAAGGCAATGTAATGAAATTAAGATAACTATCCTCCATTTTGGCTCATGAAGCCACCTTTTCATCCTTGTTGCTGACAGCTATTTCAGTGAAAAGCATTTCATATTTGAATTCAACAACTGTTTGTCCCTCCCTCCAGGTTGAGGTGACTGACATGGCGGCCCACAGTGAGCGTGTGGAGCAGCTGAACAGCCTGGGCTCGCAGCTGGCCGACTCCTCGGACCCGCCCAAGAACCTGCAGCAGGACCTGACACAGTTCCAGCTGCAGTGGGAGGAACTGGTGGCCAAGATGGCGGCCAGGGAGAAGGACCTCACCAAAGGTACCGCCCTTCTTCCAGTCCTCCCATCCCTATGAGGAAGTGTGACTATTGGCTGATATGGGAGCTTTGCAAAATTTTTATCTGCAATTAAATGCAGATGTAACCAGCTGCATTTATAGACAATGATAGATGTGAAGAGTTAATGTTTTTTTTCCAAAAAAATTGCTATTTGCTTAGGCAACCTCAAACCTGTGTATTATTGTGAACAGACATGCCATGACTACATTATTGAAGTATAGTTGTAGTTGTGTCTTTGATTTCTACAGCCATAGTAGTAGGCCAAGGATAATTTTGTTCTTTCAGTTGTATTCTTTTGTAAGATATAACTGTTTGTATTTTTGTGTTGTCTACTGCAGCTCTGGAGCAGGCCCCTCCTAAACAGTTCCTGGAGGCCATGAAGGCCCTGACCCAGTGGATCGACAATGTAGAGTCACTCCTGACCACTGAGAAATTTTACATTGCCGACATCCCGACCATGAAGGACCAGCAACAGAAGTTCAAGGTAACACAAATTTGCGTCATGTCAACATCCACAGTGACTGTTTTTATCAGTTTCAGCAGATATGCAGCCCAACTAGTCAGAAACTGTTAAAGGTTATTACTAGATTATGATCTGAAAACACAGACACTGTAGCCCAATTGTTGCCAGCACAGGATCACATTTAGTTATTAGTGAAACATTGATTGGATTACATGATGGAAACACTTTACTTACTGTGTAGCTATTGGAGATAGGTACTCCAAATCATATTAGATCGTGTCTGCTAGAGGTGAGGTAATAAATGAGTAGTGCTGTATTGGTGTCGTGAATAATGTTGCAGGAAAGTATTAGATAATGGCACCACCAACTTCCAAAAATGCTAGGTCCTTTTATGTAGTATTGACATGCTTGAACAAGAGCTATATCTCTCTGCCACTGAGAAATAATGTCCAAAACACAAGATAACAAAACAAGGAGTGTTGTATGTAGTACCAAAGAAATCTACCAATCAAAAATGACCTACCTACAAATTTAACTGTACATCATTAAGATCAATGTACACCTTCTCTAGGTATGCAGCTCACAACCAAACAGACCAGAAGGTAATAAACAAGTACCTGTTGTTCCCAGGAGGTGCAGCAGGCGCTGAAGGACCAGCAGAAGAGTCTGGACTTCGTGAACACGACGGGGAAACAGGTTGTGGAGAGCTCACCGCCTGACCGCGCCCGTAGCCTGCAGAAGGAGCTGAATGGCCTGAATGAGCGCTGGAGCAACGTCTGCGCCATGACCGAGGACAGGCTGGAACACCTAGACAAGGGGGTCGAGCTCCTCACGCAATATCAGGTAAAGAAATTGCTCCCTTGAAAGCTTGTGTTGCCAAAGATTGAGCTAGAGACATTGCCACTTGCATGTTTTTTATGTTCCCAAGATCCCAAGAATTTTTTTTCTCCAGCTCACAAATATTGGTACTGATCTTTTTTACATGTCATTTATGACATTTTTATGCTTAAGATCATCACAAAATTGTCAGCAAACACTGCTGAAACTTCAGGTTGTAAGTTGAGATTTGTGTCTCTCCCCCCTGCAGAAGGAGGGCGATGGTTTGCGGAAGTGGATGGATGAGGTAGACGTGTACATCCACTCAGAGGAGGCAGCTGTGGGAGACACGGAGACACTACAGGCTCAACTAGAACAGAGCAAGGTAGGCCAACATACATTTATACTGTCAGATCTGAAAACTACGGAAAAAATGTAGACTGCACTCTGATAGGGCAGATCTCCATCAAGACAACATAATTTTCCAATCCTTTAATCCACCATTTTTACATAACCCATATATATTTGGGACTAGTATCTAAACCTGCTTTTATTCTTTGCTTGCAGTCTCTTCAGAAGGACATAGCCTCCCTACAACACAACATGAACAATGTGAATGAAGCAGGGAAGAGGCTGGTACCCGAGGCACACCCCGACTTCTCAAAGCAACTCAAACAGGAGCTGAAGGACCTGAATGAACGTTGGGACGCCATCGTCAAGAAGGTAAGATTCATTGATAAATACCAGTTCAGTCACCTTTGGAGCCTTTTTTTCACGCTTAAAGATGAGCACTCAACATTTTTCCCCAGAGAGGACTTATATTTCTCACCTTTTCTGTAGCAAAAGTCCCAGAAGCACAGTCTAGAAGGAGCCATGAAGAAGACCAGCTCCTTACAGCTGCAGCTGGAGGCCTTCAGCGAATGGCTGACAGACAAGGAGAAGGAGGGTCTGAAGGAGGACGGACCTCTGGAGGATCCTGACGACATCCAGCCTAGGATTAAGAAATATAAGGTAGTGTTTCTTGTCCTTTCCTTTACTTAAGATACTGGTACATGCCGTTAAAGCTTCTCAGACAATAGTGATGGATATTAGTTATAACTGGAAATGTGTAATGTTCTTGATGCATAGGACCATTTGCTTAATAAAATGAAAATAAAAAAAACTTTCATAAAATATCTTTTCTTCCATGAAACTTAACCAGTCTAAGCATTTTGTCTGTTTGAATTGTTTCTTTGATAAATTAGTTGAAGTTATATGACACTATATAATGAATAAAGCCTCATTCATTGAAATAAATCCTCATTACAAACTTACTTCCAAGATTTCAAAATGACGATTCCTTTTTGCTCTTGTTTTTAGAAACTAAAAGCAGACCTAGACAAGAAGGAGCCTGACCTGAAGGCCCTGAACACAGTCGGGAATGAGATGGTGACCAAGGCCGGCAGCCCAGGGGGGCTCGGCAATGACCTTCAGGTGGTGAACGAGAGGTGGACTGTGCTGTGTAACACTGTCAACAAACGCTACGAGGTTTCACAGGTATGCTCAACAAAAGTCTGTGTTTTTGTTGTAACATTTGAAGAAGTTTTGAAAGTCTATGGAGCGTATTAAGACCAAAACTGGTAAAAGCTTTGTTTTGTTTTCCTCCCTTAAACACAATAAATAATTCCTCATATTCTATTTCTTTCCAGCAATATTTTGTACCCATTTCATACCTTTGTCATCTTAAGACTGTAGTCCTCATACATATTCAGTTGTCTCTTCTATAAGCTGTCTATTATGCATACAAAGTAGACCCATTCTGTCTCCCTTACCATGACCAGTTTGGGGGGAAATCGTATGCCACAGCAATGTTGAACTGGCCATTTTCTCATTTGCCTGCAATGGGCATCTGTAGAAGGCATTCTGTTCCAACAACTAAAAACTAGTTTGTTGCACAAAAGTGGAGTATAATACAGATAGTGTGTTGACAGCCACTCTCAGTATGGCGAGTCCACATTTTAGTCAGTCCTTTTATTGCTGAGCTTTCCTGGCTCTTCTTCTAGCCACAGCAGCAGCTATAATAACATTTTCAAATGCACAGATACTATACATGTAACAGAGGGCAAATGTTTTAAATGGCTGTATTGTTGTATCCTGTGCCCTACAGGAGGTGTGGACCCTGTGGCAGCAGTTCCAGGTGCTGTTAGAACAGGAGCAGACCTGGCTGTCCACCCTGGAGACTAAGATTCAGCAGACAGAGGCTGTGGGAGGGGATGCTGAGGAAATCTCTGAGGCTCTGGATGTGAGTAGCTACAGGGCAACTTTATCAACGGGTTGCGAAATGCTTTGAAAACTGTTATGCCAGAATTGTATAATTTAAAATTGAAAACTAATCATAAAAATAAAAAAGTGATTACATAGCTTTTTCCTAACTGTGTGCAGAGACTTTGAGCCATATGTTCTAATAATAACTTTATGAGATATGATAAGGCAGTAAATGTCCTAAACGCCCTTGATTTTGTTCCCTCTGATTCTTGCTAAAGAGAAGGAGAAGGATTAGGATGCAGGTGGGTCAGTTCAGTTCAGTGGTTGTCAACAACATGCATGACATAGAAAATGCATTATTATCTTATTTTGAAGCTGATAGTTTCTGTCTTGCAATGTATAGGAGCATGTTTGTATTAGAGAGAGGGGGGGAGTGTGTGTGTGTATGTACATGCATGTGCGGGCTTGCACTTCTACAACAGAAGAGAAGTGAGCTGCCATTTACCTTGTAGGTTTAGAATAAAGCAATTTCTTTTGAACTCTCCTGTGTAGGCCCTGGAGAACCATGTGAGGAACCACCCCAGTGACAACAGGGATAAGATCCAGGAGGTGTCCCAGAAGTTAGTGGAGTACAAGGTGCTAGTGGACCCTGTACAGACTGAGGTCACCACCTTCACTGCACGATGGGACACTCTGCAGCAACAGGTATGTTTTTAGATGATTGGAAGTGCAGAAATACTTATCTTTTCAGATTCTTTGAAGAATGATGCATTTAGACAAAATGAAGACTGGTGCTTGTGATTATGATGATATTAATGTGTGCCAAAGCAAAGTGGCAATGACAAGATGGTGATTACAAATATGAGAAATATAAAATTTATTATTTCATAGAAGAGTAAGAAAATCTGTTAATGTAGAATAGCTGCATGTAAAAGTGGGTAGTTGACTCGATTGTGTACAATTTTTGTTCTTCTAGGCTAATATGTGTTAGTCTTTCCATGTGAGAATTTATAGGTTTCATAACTATGGAAATGAAAGACTTTAGTGTTTGCTGAGGCACAGAGAAGATGCTATAGTTCCATAGAGGTATGCAGAGCTGAAAGAATTTGACCAGTAACTATTGTCCATTTTCCAGGCAAAGATGCGCCAGACTGCCCTGGAGCAGAGGATTGCCAGTGCTCAGGACCTGGAGAAGGATGTGCTTGAGTTGGAGCGCTGGTTCACCAGGACTGACAAGCTGCTGCAGTCACGCATCAACTCTGGTGTCTGTGCATCTGACGTGCCCGAGGAGTTTGAGGTAGAGAATGACAATTACATACAGACGTTGCCATTTTTAATTGGCAACCAATTCTCTATTGTTCATGGGGTTAGGTAGCAGGGGAAAGGTTAAGAAGAAGTCACTACTTTTCAACACATTAGAAGGGAAACTGCCCCGGAGTGGATCAAAACTACAGTACTTAATGGTTATACTTTTGGCAATTACTGTCATGTTGAGTGCAACTAGTGTAGCACAGACTGGCAGCTGTCTTGTGTTAAAGCCCAACAAATTATGAGCTCTCATCCCCATTCAACTTCCGAGCCTTCTAATGCTGACTCCTTGATTTTTCCTTGCAGCAACTCCAGGATGAGTTTGATGCCCGTGATGAGGACCTGGAGGAGATTGGACGGAAATGTCAGGCACTGATGGCAGAGGGCAGCACGGAGGCCACCACCAGGATCAGGCAGCAGTCTGAGATCCTGCAGGTCAGCTAAATTCCAAAGTGCTTATTTGCTTCAGCAGAATTTTAGTAAGAGTTCTGTATGTGACTTTTAACCTATGAGTCAAGAATTGCACAGATACATGTTGACATTTACAAGTGAAACAGCTCTCGGTTACATGCTGTTACTTTGATAAGATCTTGAATACAGATCTTGAATAAAGATCTGTATGTACTTTTCCAGAAGGTACATGTATTCAGTGAGTATCGAAAAATATATGGATTTGGCATTGACAGTTTTGAGTTACAACTTCCTGTCCTGTCCAAGGCCAGGACTGGGCCCCATGATTTTTTAAACAGATTTCGTCTTCTAATATTACCGGAATGTGGCACTCTGACCTTGGAGCATCTCCATTCCCTTCTGCTCATCCAAGTATGTCATAATTTGTTGAGGAATTGAGTGACCCTCTGCCCCCTTCTACCTTGTAGTAGAAACAGTGCATTAAAAAGGGATATGTGAGTCTGGGAGTGGCACAAATGGTTGAATCAGGATGGGAGATGTGGAGCTCTTGTCAGGCCTGATGGTTTGTTATATAGCGTGATGATTTTCTTACCATTCTTATGCCATTTCTAAGTAGAAATGTTGTTTCCGAGACATACATGTAAATGTTAGTTTTAAAGGTTTCCGTAGTCACCCTAGAGCTAGGGTCAGGCCTCAAATCTCTCTATTGGTTTTACTAAAGTGTTATTGGTTCTCTGCAGGGCTCTAGCTAGCTTGAAATCTTTTTCCGTTCATGATCAGACCTGGTGGAGAGTGCTCACAATCTTGTGGGTCCTTGGGCATATTTTGGATTTTCGAGCCTTTAAAAAGGCAATTTCCCACATTTTGAAAGGCAAATCATGTGGTTGAGAGTGGTTGTTGGTGGCCCTTTGGTTGTTTTTGAATGTTTTCCCAAGATTTTTGTCAATTTTGTCAGTTAAGTTTGACGGATTGGTTAAATTTTTTTCTGAAATTGAGGGAAAAACAGGTGCTTGCTAGAGCCCTAGTTCTCTCTCTGATATTTATATCCAGAGCCATGTATCATTATTCTTCTTTCCTCCAATGTCCCTAACAGAAGCGAATGGTGGAGATCAAGGCGAAGTTCCGCAAGTACCAGAAGCCTGCGGACTTTGATCCGAAGATGAGCCGTGTGCGAGACATCCTGAACAACGTTGAGAAGGAGCTGGGAGTGCTGGAGTTGAAGCACCATGAGCCGGAGATGGTACAGGGACAACTGGACATCTGTATGGTGAGAGCGATCAAAATATACTTTGAATCACTTTGCGGTAGCCAATTAGAAAAATGGACATGCTCGTGGAACTTTAAATTTGCGGTGTCGGTAGACACAGAGAAAGAAATTCGGCGAATTATTTGTTTGTGGTAATGGTAAATTCCCAGCACAGAAGTGACTGCAAAATCCGCAAATATAAAAGTACTGTGAATATAAAGTGATTTACAGTACTATCTCTGAAATTCATAGCACAGGGTTCAAAATATCACTGGTGCAGGTTAGTGCAGGGAAGATTGGAGTGTGAATTTGAATGTTAAAAGGACTTGAATATAACCTGTAACAGTGCTGGTGTGTTACGCCGAAGGGCGGTTATACTGGCTATACAGATACAGATACAGTGCATGCCCTTTATCTTAAACTCTGATAAAGAGGACAACTAGTTCTGTTTATTTAGTCAAGTTTTCTTGGCAATTTGCTAATTTTTATGTAAAAACAAAACACCTGAGTTACAACTCGCTGTTTGCAGCATTGCCCCAATGGTCAGTACAGATTAATGAATGAATGAACTTTACTGCTCGACAATAGTACAGATGTTGCTCGGGAATCATGCTAAAGATAGTAACAGAAATAGTGGTCCCCAAGTAAAAAAGGACAAGACTAGTAACTGTTGGTACCCATACCAGCTTGTGAAAGCAGCTAGCTTCCAGTGAAGTTTAAATCTTCTTACCATTATTGACCACTAACAAATTTAATGCTTCACTGACGTAATACCCCTAAACTGTACCGTTAAACTGTTTGACTTACTGTAAGAATACAAAAGTCAGCTGTAACAGTTAATAGGCTCAAGTGGTATTTTGATAGACTGTTGTTATGGGCAAACTAAGTATTTGTTTATGTTACGAAGATGGGATACAGATGTATAGCTGTAAGTAAGTCTGGTTTGAGCCAGTTTTAATCACACAAAGCTTTGAAGAGGATGACTTTTAATGAAGACAGAAGACACTGTAGCCATTGTTTATATTTTCTTTATGTGAAACACTTGTGCTAAATGTTGGATTTAGTTGGTAGGGTCATGTCGGGACAGGAGACTTGTAGCTGAAAGGTTGATAGTCCTTGCATTGATGATTTTGGATAGAGATGGCTGAAAATTTGACATGAGGCATTTGCATTATGCGGGACTACATTTTTTAACATGTACTATGATAGACAAGCTATCAAGCCATATTTATCATTTTCTTCATTTGTTTCAGGGCTTGTACAAGATTCTTAGTGATGTCAAACCTGAGGTAGAGTTTGTGATAAAGACAGGAAGACAGGTGGTTGAAAAGAAACAAGTGGACAACACCGAGGATCTTAACGAACGGCTTAACGAGCTGAAGCTCCAGTACAACGACCTGGGTGCACAGGTGGGTATGCTGCGGGAGCAGCTGGAAAGGATGGTGAGTTCTGATTGGTGGATGGATCAGGTGTTTCGATGAGATGGGAGCCCTGATTGGTGGATGGATGAGGTGTGTTGGATGAGTGGTGGGTCCCGATTTGTGGATGAAACACTCTTGGTTGGATGGTGAGTTATGATTGGTGAATGGATCAGGTGTGTAGCTTGAGTCGTGGGTCCTGATTGGTGGATTGAAACATGCTGAGTAGCCAATGAATAAAGAGTTTGCTTGTGATTTATCCTTTTACCTCTACTTGTTGATAGATCTGTTCTATTCCTGTACTATATGTCTAAAGATTAGGAATTTAGCCAGTGACCAGGCTTTTTCTTCATCCACCCAGGTGACAGAAGGGAAACAGGATCTGGAGAAGGCCATGAAACTGTCAAAGAAGCTGAAGAAAGAGATGGTGTCTCTGACAGAGTGGCTGGGCACCACTGAGGCTGAGTTGAACAAGAAGGAGGCAGATGGAGCCATCCCTGCTAATGTAGAAGAGGAACTCAAGTGGTGCAAGGTGTGTTTGAGTTGGAATATATTTTGAGCTTGCCTTTAGCCATGTATTCTTCCAGTTGGCTGGAAGCAATCCCAGCTACATTGTAATGTTGTGGAGGAACTCAAATGGGAGAAGGTATGCAGGTTTCTTGTGCCAGCAAGAAATTTGATCTTCTTTTTATTCATTAGAGTCTCAAATTGTGTCAGTAAAGCACAATGGGAAAGTCTTATGATAGATATAAACTTTGCAAACATATAGTGTACTTATTAATGAAGGAAGTATTTCTATGTCAAAGCACAGGCATCATACAAAAATGCATGTGCATTGTTGATGCAGAAAAGTGGGTTTGTTTTGGATACAAATTCTTTAATCCCTTTGAAGCTGTAAGAGTAAGCCCTTTTTGTGGATAGGAGAAGTCTAAAGTTGAATCCATCAGCCAGGCCATGCATTAACACAAGTGTCCCCTCCAGACCCTACAGCAAGAGATGACGAGGAAGCAGTCTGTGGTGCTGATCATAAATGAGACAGGGAAGGAGATGGTGGAGCTGGCCGAGCCGGGAACTCTGGCTCCCCTGGAGGAGAAACTGTCTGCTCTGAACCAGCACTGGTCAGACGTGTGTGCCAGGGCAGCCGAGAGGAGGCTCAGGCTACAGGTCAGTGGCAGTCAGGATGTGTTTTCAGGGAGATGTGAGCACGTCAGCAGAATGTACTGCGCCTGAGCAACACCCTGATATTTCATGGTTTTTGCTGGATATTTGGTCAACGTTGCATAAGAATTTTGCCTGTTGCAGACATTTATCTTTTCCGATATAACATTTCAAAACTACAGACGGGATGTTAAGCTTATATGTGCGAATACGACCTTACATGAGGCATTTTGCCGAAGTGCTATGTACAATACATTACGGGTTTTGTGCAGGTGTAGTACGTTCTGCTGACATGCTATTGCTGATAAAGTGGATATGTGCAGTAAAACTGGAAGTGAAAGACAAACAGATCACACATATTTTACTGAAAAATAAGCCACAAAGATATGAGTAATTGTATCAAGTATACCAGTATTGTGTTATGGGTATGTTAGTGCAGCGCCATTATTTTATTTTACACCTTTAGGGAAAGCCATACATTTGTACTTCAGATAAATAACACCATTATTGCATTATTGCTACACCTATTCAGTTCTCTGTGGGATTTAGGCTGTAAGCCAGAAGGATTCACAGCACTGCAGTGCTCAATAACTTCATTCCCATACTGGTTAGAATAATTCCTAAATTGTTTTGTAGATGAGATGAGAAGATGGATGGAATAGAAAATTGCCTTTTATGGCTTATTTCTCTTATCTTTTCCACAACAATTTTTGTACTTTAAATGGAAAGGGCATTTGAAGGTCAAACACAGAAAAGTTGACTTATCGTATTCAAAATGTACAGTAACATTCAAGCTTATATATATATATCAGTATGAGAGCGCTGTGTTATATGATTGTGGAGTATCTTCCTGACATTTTTCATTGATATTTCTTTACATAACACAAGACATAATGCTGTATCCTTCTGGTTGTGTAGGAGTTTATGTCTGAGATGGAGAAGTTCCGGGAAGGTCTGAACGAGGTGCACACCTGGATGGAGAAGGTGGAGATGTTCTTTAAGATCTCTGACAGACTCAGTCCTGAGGAGCAGGCCAAGGAGGTGGACACTTACAAGGTAAGCTCTCATAAAATGTCTTCAGATATTAGAGACTAATTTTTTGGGTGAATGATTAGAAAATTATTGTATGAAGCATAATAGATTGATGTATTGCATGTTTCCAATAGCTGTATCATTTAGGTCACCCCACATTTAGCCCTGCAGTCCAATTACTGTGTATAATCTGGTTAGTAAAGGTAGAAAAGGGGACGGCTCTGAATGCTTTCATGTCCTCAGCTGGGTTGCAGCTAATTATGTACATCTGTTGAATGTAGAAGCAGTTTTCAGTGGAACTTTGAAGCTCCCTGTTCTTAATCACAGTCATTATATTATAGATTTAGTTTTGATTAGAGGAAACTGCAATCAGCAATATCTGGGGCTTAGAGTAAAGTAGGTTAGGGCAAGCTTTCAAGTTTGGCGGAGAAAGTGATGAATCCTGCATCCTGTAGGAGACTCAAAGGAAGGAGAAGAAAGGAGATAATCGTTCCCAGCTTAGTGGTTAGTTCGGGGATTGAAAGTGAGATGAAGAGATTGCTGGTGTCTTAGCCTATCTCACAGAACTGCAATGGCTTTCTCATTTGCCACAAGAAAAGGCCTGTTGATTAGAGGAAGTCTGTGCATGAGATAAGATTTCTGTTCAAAATACAAATCGTGCTTGCTGCGTATGTACTTGTCTCACTGTAATTTGAAGTTTGTCGATTTAGAATTCTAAAGTATGTGAGGAGTGAAATGGAAGTGGGTCACCCATAGACATGTACAGTAGTAAAGGCGACCTACTGGAAATATAAGTTGTTGTTCATTCTTAATCGTAGGGAGACATGAAGCTGAAGTGGTCTGGGAGAAATCCCATGGTCATGTCAAATGTAGGGCAACTTCTCGGTCAATTCTGCCAGATGATTTATTGCCTAAAAGGGTGTGTAACAAGGATCTTATGAATAGGGAAAAATACACAATTCTTGTCATTCTTTACTTTATTTGGTTTGGTTTGTATCAGTGTATTATTCATTCTCTCGAGATTTGTGTAGGCAATTACTTCCATACCTTGTAGGTTAGTAATTTTAGTTGTTAGGGCAAGGGTTCTCCATTGAAGTGGCTTAATTTCCCACATTGAAAGCCCCCCTGGGTCCCCACTTCTGCATGACAAAGGGGTGGGGGCACGACCACCAACTGTAGAGCACAATGGGCACGTCCTGGGTGGACCACAAGAGAACCGCACGCTTGGGTTTCCAGTCACGTGTGAGTGGAGCGATTCATTGCGCCAAGGCGATAACGATTGGTGATCATGCGGCGGTAGTAGCGGGTTTGTGTGCTGCTTGGTTGGTATCAACAGAGAGAAGGATTGTCGCCTGCGTGGTGGAACTCCTTGCTATTGGCCAGGTAAGATTGGGTGATATATCGTACTGTATATTGTAGGATATCTACAAGGTATATATATGGCATCGCTGTGCTCTGCATGTGTGAAATAGCCCTCCTGTAAAAACACTCATCATCGGTACACAGTTTTTTTATGATGGAGATGAAGAGCAATATTCTTTCTAGATTGCGGTATTCAAGGACGCAAGGCTGAATCAGTGAACAATATAGTAGCAAGGCTTTTGGCCAGTGAACCCTATCGTCAGTTATCTGAACGTGTTTCACATTTTATAAGTGTGCGGTGTGCAGGTAACTTTCAAAGGCAATACTGGACACATTTCTTCAAAAAAGGACTTGGTCTTGAGGAAGGTTGTTATAGCACTAGCAGAAACTTTGTGCAAAGCCAGGAAAAAAAGCATGAGATATTTCATTGGAATGTACTGTTGCCATTCCTTCTAACCCTCTGGAGATTGATACGGGCATTCCTGTGTGCACAGACGGAGGGACAAAGGACTTAGGGGCCGGATCATGACAGATTACCGACACACAAAGCATTGTTGCTGTAATTGGCGTAAATTTACTGGCACAAATGCCCTAATCTGTTCACTTGCTAAAATAGCTGATAACAGCAAATACAGTATTAAAGTGTGCACTACTGCCTGGAAGTAAAGTGCTTGGTGAATAACCACACCACTGGTCTTTATGCTGTGTTTTATGCTGTAATTCTAGTTCAGTTTGACCTGTAATTTGTGGAAGTAGGGCGCAACGGCCGGTTATATCATTCATCGGAGACAACGCGGTTGCTGATTTTTATGTAAAACTTTGATGTAATCAGGTCATAATTGCTTGACTTTGGAGACCCCATTATTGACAGACAGCCCCGTATTGATTGGCAGTTGGCTCCTGGCGGCACGGCCACCATAATTGAACAGCACCATGGGAATTGGGCAGGCGATGGGCAAACTGTAGTCCAGCACATTACCAACACTTAGGCCATTCAATCCTAATTAGTTCCCTTTCTTGAAGAGGCTGACGTTTATCTTTGCCGCACTTTGTTACGTCGCTTATTTATCAACGCACAATGGAATATCTGGTGCCAGGTATCTCTCGCTGAAGGAGATAATTCCCTCCCTGTCTGAGAAATGATGCAAGAGTGTTTCTAGTTTATCTTCAACTCAAGCGATCAGGAATCTGAGGTAAGAAATTTACTGCGGAGAGAAGAGAAGTGGAACATGTTCACAGAAGTGATAGATGCCAGCCTGCCTGGATTTATTTGTAATATCATGTGCCAGGCCATTAGCTTGGGCAATTTATAGTCGTTGTATAGCCAATACTTGAAAGCAGTAGTTGATATAAATCTGTGGTTCCACTGTAGGATGCTATATTTCTCCATTTGGGTTTGCGTGCAGTTTTAGGTCAACAAAATTGGTTTGGCGAAAGCCAATACTCATGTTGATTGGCGATGGTAGATTAGTCATTTTGTACTCCGCAGACAGGCTTAGGTAAGATTTGGTTTGGTGCAATAATTGCTAAATGCAAACAGATTTTCTAAAGATCCATATTGATTTTATCCATGAGTAATAGGCCTGAAAGCAGTGACCTTGTTCCATTGCTGTAAATGACTGTCTTCCCTGGAAACTGTGGACTGTTAGGGAAGAATCCCGGTTGTGAGATGCTGTGTTATTTCCCTACGACAAGAGCCATGTGGAGAAAACAGCATATCGCCACAGGAAGCCAGAAAACCAAGCTGTAATTCACAATATTTGATTTCTATCAGGCAGAACCGGGAAGTCAGCCATGATATGGGCTGGATGGATTGGTGAGGATGTGCTGAAATGGGACAGAACAGAGAGTAATGGCCGTGTGTGGGGAGCCTACTTAACGCTGACATTATTCTCAACACGTGTCGTTTTCCCGGTTGATCAAGAAAGCAGGCTGTTAAACGTTTTCGGCAGATGGGCTTCCTCTGTAGAGGATTCAAAAGAAAGTCATTTTTATATAGGTGGGAGTCGTTTAAATTGGAGCATCCTGGCTTGCATATTGTATGCGTGATATACGGACATGGGACAGTGGCACTTAATAATGTAAGGTGACCCAGGAAATGAAGAATGTGTGAAGTGTGGAGTAATAGACGAAATGTCCTTCAGTAGTCTGAATGATAAAACATGCATCCATTCTTTGTATGAATTCCCGGAAATGACTAGTTCCTTTTACCAGTGGGCTAGATGGAATCTGACAAGATAAGTGTGCTTAAGAACTTCAATAATTGGAAACTGCTAGCAGGTGGTAGTTAAGCATGGTAGAACACAAGTCATCTGCAGAATATCAAAAGGAAGGCATCAATGCTGGGGGTAAGATCTATAGATGGTATAGCAGAGTTGTCAGTCTTCAGCTCAGCACAAAGAATTGCGTCAATCATGAGTAGGCTGTTGAACCTTTTTTGGCGTCCGTGTTCGTGCAGTTTGAGTCGATGATTGGTGTATATGAAAGGAAGGCGCATGCCGCGGATGGCACCCCGAGTTCACATTGCAGCCACATCACCATTTTATTGTTCCATTTCATACGTGTGATTTGGTCGTAATGGCAGCGTGAAGCTCCCCACAGTGGCACGTAAAGCTCTGCTCTTGATTAAAGCTTGAGGGGAGAGTTTCCGTAGAAGGAGTGAAGTACTATTTTATGTTCACCCACAGCTGACTCTAAAGTGGTGCTGGGCGATGTGTGGGTGGAGGCTTCTGTGCTATTAAGTTCGGTCCTTCAGGAGCTTTGCTAGAGTTTTCTCAGAAACATTACATCTGTGCGTCATTCCAACCTGTAAGTCAAGGCAGTTGTAGACAATGAGTGCCACAGATGTGGCAGTTAAACGTAACCAGTAGCTGTTAGAAAGGGGAGGTAAGAAAAAGGTCAGCGTAGTTTGGAAACCACGCTAGCTTGGAAGTACTCTTGGCTAAGCAGCAGTCTAGCTGCTGGGAGAGAGAAGGGAACTGGTGCTACAGCAGGTAAGAAACAGGAAAGGATTTATTTTTGAGGGTAGGCCCTTCTGGTCAAAATGTTGTATGAATAGGATCGTTTTATTGAAATCTTTTGTGAAACAAGTTTGTAATGTTTAATAAGGGCCAAGTGCTAGTTATTTTATTTGTGGCTGCTGAATCTTAACAGCAAAATTTTTGGTGTTGAGTGTAGCATTATGAATTGAAACACTGGTGTTATCCATGATCATTGAGAGGATCACTTCAAAGCAGGCTTTATTTCATACCTGATTGACTGTTGATCAAAGTTTCCTGGCAGTTGCCCTTCTCAAATTCCTGACTGTGGGCAGATACAATGGCTTCCGTGATGTCGTTGCCGCATTGTCATTAGCTTCTCCCATTCCTGTAGATTAGAAAACTGTCTGGGATAATTTGGTAGAGTAATTCTACACAGGCCCTGAATCTGTGGTTGAATGCAGCAGATGTGTGCTGCAAGGGCAGGATTAATGACTTGCTGTCCCAGGCTGAAGAGCCACACGAGTGGCCATTTTACTGATGGCAGGCAGGGCTGTCCGTGGTACTGAAATGCTGCTGCAGTCCACAGCCTGCTGATAACAGATATAAATGGTATTGTGCATTGTAGTGGTTGTCGGGAGTAGCTGAAACGATAAGCATCTTGGACATGAGATTGAAACAGATGGATGAGTGCTGATGGAGGAGATAATGACAACAGGAGGTTTCTTGAGAAAGATCAGTCTCTGTCACTGGGGTCTTGGTGCACTTGCACGTGACGTGTGTTCCTGACAGTGAGGAGTGATACGTACTCTTACAACCTTGACAGATAGTGTGTTTATCTCTGGAAAACAGGATGCGTCGTGACAACAAACTTGCAGAAGATGGATTTAGGTTTGAGAAGGCATCATGTAGACTTCTGTCCCTATCTGTAAGGCTTCAGATGCCTATAACACGGTAATGCAGAAACTGCAGGTGGTGAAGTTTCTGCCAGAGGCATCAATTATATTACATTGCTTCCTGTACTTCCATAGCCTAAAGGGAAGGTATTGAGTTGCATTACAGAATCTAGTCTCTATAGACATTGAACATTTGGAAATTTGTGTAACTGCCTGAAAAGAATGTCAGAGGTGGTGTTTGTCATATATGGAAGACGTCAGAGGAAATACCTTTTAAAGTCTTGGCTCTGTTGTTCCTGAAGAAGTTGGAAGCTATATCAACATTATATTTCATCGCACACAAATGCTTGTGAGCTTCTAACTTCTCTAGTGAAAAGAAAGGATCTTGTTAAATTGTGTTCGTGGTCTTTTAGCATTCCCAGAGAAACAGGAAGATGAATTGCCGTACTTTCTCACGACACGTGAAGACTTGCGAGCTTAGGGGTTACCCAGTTAGCTGGATACACATAATTATTCTTGGTATTGAACATGGCAGTGGTCGACAAACAGATAATCCCACTCATCCATCATGGGAACTATCTCAGACGTTTGTCTTCAGGAGGGAGGATAAGGTTCCATCCATCATCGGCAAGGAGCCGGGGTAGCGTACTGTGGGCGTAAGGTTCGCTCACGGCACGTGAGGAGGGGAGAAGCAGAGGGTCACACCGGACTGACTGCTCTCTGGACAGTGGGGATGGGTCGTTAGTTTCCTACCTGGTTAGATAATTGCTTCCAGTCCAGTGTAGTCAGCACTGCTGGGTAGATCTATGAGTTTGGGAGGCAATATGGAACTTGTCTTGAACTCTCATGTTCTTGGAAACGCAGCTGGAAGGGAATGATTGTATGGAATCTGAATTTCTGGTGTAATTGAACTTTTGAGGGATTATCCTTGGTCATGGATGCTTTATGAACTTTGAAGTACATAAGCATCCATGGGAACATCTGGCCAATGTAATGGTCAGGCAAATGTGATAGTTTTGAAATGAGTGTGCACTGCTCTTGAAGCAACCTATTTGCACCAGGCATCATGTCATAAACAAATACTGTATAGCGTTTTAGAACAGGACATTGACCCTGCAGTATGTGATCTTGATTGACGCATTACAACCAGAAGTACAATTTCAAAAAGAACATCATTTAGAGCTATTAGCGCAATAAGTCTTGCCCCTGGACCTGTCGTAAACCTTTTATAGCAATACCTTGCACCTAAAAGTAAGTATAGGTTACAATAAACATGGCTTATAGGACAGCAATCAAACTGCCTTGGCTTTGTGGTTGTATACCGCTTACATTAATTAGATAGACATCAGAGACCCCCAACCCCTAGACTTTACTAACCGGTAATAGTATGAATGCATGATTGTAATCATGGCCATAAGCCTACTTGCATATTGTACCGACAAAAAGCATTATAAAGTAAAAACTATATTGTGTGGTTTGTTTGTCTGCAGAAGCTCCAGCTGGAAGCGAACCGGTTGCGAGGAACAGTGGACCAGGTACGTGACCAGGCCATGGAGCTGATGCAGCATGGGCCGGCCGTGCAGGGCATGGTGGAACCTGAACTCATCAACCTCAACAGCAGATGGGAGAGTGTGTGTGAGAAGATCAGGGTGAGTGGAGGAGTTACTCAGACTTTTGGTTTGTCTTCTGATCTCTATTTTATAGACAAAGATTCATCTAAGACTTCGTGATAATGAGCATTCTGGCATACTCATTTTCTCCCGAGTGAAGTGAGGAAAGTTGTGTAAAGTGCCTCTCCCAAGGGCACAAGATCAGTAACATGGCAGGATTCGAACCCGGGACCTCTTGGTTCTGTGCTGAATGCTCTGCTGTTATGCCACACGACCCCCAAGTGAATAGATTTCTTAGATTGTGAGAAGAAAGAAAAACCGACAAGACAACTGAGATTGGGTATGAGATGGTAAAGGAAATCACAAATTGGAGAGTGTGTGAGAAGTTCGTGATGAGTGGATAATTCAGTTTGGTTTTCACTCCATACATTTGTCTTTGTAGCAGTAGGGGAAGTTAAAATGCCATACTGTCGCAATGACCAGTGAAGTCAGCAATTTGCTAACAATAGAGAGTACACCATTTGGTGAGACTAGTACATCATTACTGGGCTGCCTGGAGCATGTCGATCAATACCAGTTATTACACATGGGAACCTTCAGTTAGACACAGCATAGAAACTTACAAAGGGAGTAAGTAGAGCAAGACCTTGGCAAATGGAGGTGAACATGTTGTAAGTGGGACACACAATCTTGCATGGGTCATAGGAAATTAGACCAATTTCTTTCATTGTCAGTGTCAGAATCAGTAGCCAAATGGTAACTTCGGTGTGCTAAACCGGTCAACCTGTGTGCTGAAAAGATGAAGATCACTATGTCTGGACCAGCTGTATTGATCATCTTTTATTCCTTTCTGACTCTGAAGATTTCTTTGACACTAGTTTGTTTGGCCATTGTTTTGAATGTTTTTTAGAGATTGGTATTTACCTTTTGACCAAAATAGAGCCCCAGACCAAATGTTACCATTCCATTCCCTCTTCTGTTCATCCCCTGCTGAGCCCAAAGTCATGTCCAAATTGTTGACAAATTTTGACCCTGGGTGGGCCCTACAGCCAGCTGGCTTCTAGCCTGGGTAGACGTTTTGCTATGACTGTGGGAGTTGTGTGTCGAGGTGCTGAGTTGAAAGATAACAGTCCTTGTGGCAAGGAGAAACAGTCTGGGCCTTTACGTCAAAGGTTGGCAAAGGAATGCACAAAGGGCTGCAGAAAAGAAGGTCCGATTCTAGCTCTAGCTTCGAGAATTTTATACAAGTTTGTTATGAAGTAGGCACAATTGCTTGCAAGCAGTTTATCCATACTGTTTTGTAGATTTAGGTAAGTGCCATTTTTGGAAGACAATTTGTTATGCTCGTGTTGTATGTGTCTGAGGTTATGTTGGAATTCAGCTGTGATTGCGTCTATCGATAACAGACTTAGCTAGCCAGAGGTTATCTTTGTGTTGTTGTTTTGCTTGTTGATTCAAGCTGTCCCAGTGTCTTTTATGTAAGAATTTGACTGCCACATTGATGCTGAATCCCATCGCCAGTACAAATTGTGTAGCAGTTAGAAGGTTTAAGCAGTTAGAAGGTTAAAGAGAGAACTGATTGTTGAATGTTTTGTTCCAGGAGAAACAGCAGGTCCAGCCATTGCAGCAGGTTCAAGTGCAACAGGCTGTCGCCGTCGCCTCAGCGGCTCCTCCACCCGTCCCCGCCAGGACCATGAAGACGGAAACCACCACCGTTACCACGGTGACAACCGTCACAACAACCACGAGAATCATCGAGTTGGAGACGGACTTCCACAAGGCCAGCTCTGTCATCGCACAGTTTGACGACACGTTACTGACCGACAGTGGGGATTTGAGAGAGGAAGACTTCACCGAAAATGTGGAGGATAGGGTCAAGGTAAGAGGGGTACCCCCTAGCCTTTTGCATATTGAATCAGATACTCATTTATATACTTGTCTTCAAAGTCAGACTCATTCTCAGTCACTGATGAAAGATAGTGGATTCTATCAGGAACGTCAGAGTCCTCAGAATTAATCCAGTTGATTTACATTGTATATCCAACCTTCAACATATGACACTAGGTAGACATCCATGTAAACAAGTTTTTAATTCTTTTTAAGCTAAATTTTCACAGCTTTCTCAAGAAATCTTCACCAACTGAAATGGTTTAAACCAGATAGTGAGTGAGTGAGATCTGTTTGTGAAAATTTTGAAAAATCAGTAATACAGTAAGTAGCAGTGGAATCAAGCTATTGGCTCCATGTCTGTGAAGAGCTACACACGTAATATGTCAGAAAATTCCTCAATACTTCATTCACCATCTTCACAGAGCTCGTCATTCAGGCATTAGGTGTTTTACTGACTATGTGATATACTAGTAGATAGATACAGATACAGGATGAACTACAGACCAGTTGAACTTGAAGAGTATGTGAAGTGAACATAATCAGAACTGTGGTCAGTTGTCTCCAAGTAAACCTTGAAAGTATGCCAAAGAGGAGAAATGGGTTTAAGTGAAGATACCGCGGGTACATTTTCTGGATCAGATAAAGCTCTGAGTGATCCACCTCCATTTGAAACACAACAGCAGGAGAATTCCAAATGCCAATCTCTGTCCCAGGGTTAAGGGGTTCTTGACCCCAGGGCATTGTGATGCACAGGCAATGTGACCTTAGGTGACCCCTTTTTGTCTGAGAGTCCTAGCTGAAAATAGGCACTTGAGAAGACTGCTTTTCCCATGCTGAGAGTTGGCTATTTGAAAGCACCGAAATATTTTCTCACCTCCTGACATACAAAGTAGCAAGGTTGACGCGTTGACTATACCCATTGGTTTAAAGCTACACAGTACTAGTAGCACAAATGGTCTTTGTTCAGATTCTGGAAAAAAAAAAAGAATCAAGTCTGCCATTTTTCAATATTTAGTTACAAAGGCCTGAAAACAAGTCGGTAATATGTGACAAGGGGAGTGACAGCATCTGTTTTGACACCAAACAAGTTGCCAGTATGGCAGCCATCACAGTGGAATGCCTAACTATGCACAACACTAACACTAAGCCTTGCAGAAGTGATGATGTACAGACCTGACATGCTACAGGATCACAAACATGCAGACCACACCATCTTATTCTGGAAGAAATTAGCCCAGAATGTTTTTCTATCTCTTGTGCCCTGGGAGTTCTCTGTAGGTGACACTTCAGCTGTGTCAGAAATTTCATCCTCCTTGATCATTTCCGATTTTTATTTGTACAAAGATATTTAGCCAGGTGCATTGCAACCATTGCTGTTGACATCAAATTATCATAAAAGTTGAAAAAGAACATCTTGTAACTTGAAGGACATCTAACTGAATGACAATACTGTTTTTGTAAGCCTTTTCAAGCACTTCCAAGGAAATCGGTGTTGCAATGGGCTGTACTAACATATACCATTCATTTTAAACAACTCTTTTTTTCGACCCAGTACTGTCCCAGTGTAAATTTGTAATTTCAATGATGGCACTGCTGCCTCTTGTAGTGATGTGGCAAGCGAATAACTGAGATTAATGGCAGACTGGCTGGAGTTTGGAAGTCTGGAAAATCCAGGTAATCTACAAGCACAACAGGTCCCTCCCCAGGAAGTGTGCAGAGCTGCCCTGTACAATTTGTCAGCCTTGTTGACAGATGGTATCAGCCAGATACAGGGTCATATGTTCCTCCTTATTGCCCCGAGATATGGGCTATCAGAAAACAGTCCCAGCTCCACTCATCTCTTCCTCCCTGGAGGGAAGGTTGCAAGGATGGCCTCCTCTCGATCTGAAAGCTTTACAAATCCCATTGCTTCCTTTAAGATTGTACACCTGACGAAAGTGTCTGTCTTGGTGAGTCCTGGGGATTTTGTCCATCATTGTATGTTTGACTTGTGCTGTTTGTTATTGCTTGTGAGAAATCTGCCTGGTAGGAGGATGGCAGGAACAGAGTTTGTTTACCTCAAGAGTTAAGAGCTTCCCTGGAAGTAAAGAAATGGTGCAGATGTTTCCTCATTTTCCTGTCGCTGTTTCCTCAGTTTGAGTTTGGCACTTCTTTGTTTAAAACATGATAGGGCTTTTATAAACTCACCAAGATGATAATTGTCTTGTGGAAATCTTCACGTGTTTGTGCTCTGGCTGTGTTTATGTGGCCATCCTGATTGCAGCATCCTTTGAAGCGTGTTAGCTTTCCTTAGGTGTAAGCAAACAGGGATAGCAATTCCCACGTTGCTTAAACTCTGGTGGCAATCCAGAGAACCACTCAGAACAGTGTACAAAACTTAATGATCTGAAGTGTTTTTCTTTCCTGAAAATTTTTCTCTCATGTGCTCCTTCCAGGCAACTGAAGATGAAATTTCAAGAATACAAGCCGAGATCGACGAGATTTTCGAAAAAGGTGACAAAGCCATCAAGGAGACCGACGACTCTACCAAGAAGGAGCAGATTCGGCTGAAACTGAACGACTTGAAGGGCCGATGGAGCTCGGTCAAGGGCGATGCGGAGCTGAAGAAGAAGACGCTGCGAACTGTCGTGCCGCAGTGGTACCAGTTCCGCTCCCAGACCGACGATCTCAACATGTGGCTGACAGAGATCGAGATCAGAATAAGGGAGTCCAAAGATGATCCCAACAAGCTACAGGTGGGTGTCTTGCTCTTGTATCTTTTTTTACTTGATCCTTTACAGACATCACTCCATTGATAAGAGTTGAGAAAGGAACATCAGAATGTAGTTTTTGTGTCACAGTCCACAAGTATGGTATCAAATCCACTCTTCCCAGAGGAATGGAACCCCAGTAAGACCCCCACCAACCCTTGTTGTTTCATGCTTCAATCAGAAAACAAGACCCCATATCCCCCTGCTCCTACCTGCTTGCTTAGGGATTAGACAGTAAACAGAGTAATCTGGTTTAATCAAATCCAAACCCACCAGAATTTTGCTTCAGAATGTCCCAAGAATGTTTTGAGATAAGTCTGGCAACTTCCTGAACTATTAAATAGCTCCTCAATCCTGTCTGATGCATGTCCAAATGCAATGTAGATTTAGCTTCTTGCGCCTAACAGATTTACTGCCAAAGGCTTGTTTGTTTATCCCCATTTTGCCAAAGTATTTGTTATCTTTAAGAAGTGAAGATGATATACCAGTTAATCATTTATCAGTGAGGAGAAGAGTCCTCTGTTACTGGTAGGAGTAAACATCTGCCAGTCCTGTGGTCATGTTGTGGAAAACTGTCTCATTACGTGTGTACATACAGAGTCACAGTCACCGTCAGTGTGTACATAGCACATACTCACAGGTGTGGAGAAAGTCCATTAACAGCCAGCTGTCAGAATGAAACACAGTCCTGGGAGCTTTCTTGTTTTAGACTGACATCTCATCTCAATCCTATCCCATAGCAGACTAGATGATTCCAAAAGAAATGAAAATAATCCCACAGGGAATTTACATTCAGGTTAAACTGGACCTGCTCCCTTTTTGGCATCTGTTTGCTCGAATGACAGTTACACAATATAGGATTCAAGTGTAATAGGCTATTTTAAGGAGAACTTCTGGGCTCTAATGCTTTACTGATCTCTGCAGCTGTAAATCGATGCCCCCTAGCAGACATGATAAAAAGTGTAGTCTATACAACCACCAAAAATATGCTGTCATTGTAATCATTCGAGACTTTCCAAAGCAAGTACATTTGTACACAGTTGCCATGAACAATGTTTTTCTGCATCAAATCAAGATTCTTATGTCATCTTTCCAATAGATTTTATTCTCAGAGGACTTTCAAAACTATACTGTTATTCCTCTATGCAGTATTTGAAAGATGTTCCAAGCGTGAAATAGCCCATAACATTGTTGCAATAGATCAGTGATGTTCGTCCATCGCAGTCGATGATGACCCCAACTTCAGTCCTTGTGTGTCCGGGTATGGCTGACGAGTCCAATTCTAGCCCGGAAGCACCTGCCGCAGACGTCACACTTGTGCTCAGGTAGTGGCTGCAGAGACGGGTTTTTCTCCCTCGCCTTTCGTGCCTCCCGCTTACTGACAGCCAGGCTGGTGCGACGACGCTCAGCAAGCTCGGCGCCCTGGTGGACTAGTCTGCGCCACTGGTGACGGTCAGTGGCAGCGTCCTCCCAGTTTTCAACGGGAATGCTGAGGCTCTTCAGAGTTGCCTTGAGGCTGTCCTTGAAGCGGAGCTTGGGGCGGCCCGCTAGCCTTTTGCCTTCAGCCAGTTCCCCATACAGCAGCATTTTGGGTATGCGGCTGTCGTTCATCCGTCGGACGTGTCCTGCCCACCTTGCTTGGGCTTTCTCTATGAGGTGTGAATGCTGGGCATGTTGGCACGGGAAAGTACCTCCGTATCTGGGGTGTGGTCTTGCCAATGAATTTTAAGGAGTCTACGAAGGCATGTTGTGTGGAAATGGTTTAGCTGTTTTGCATGTCTTCTGTAAACTGTCCAAGTCTCACAGGCATAGAGAAGAGTAGTAATGACTACTGCCTGATACACTTTAAGTTTTGTGCTGAGCTTGATTCCCCTTCGGTCCCAGACATTGTGTCGAAGTCTCCCAAAAGCACTGCTGGCCTTAGAGATTCTGCCGTTCACTTCCTCATCTATGTTTGCCTGCCGTGACATGGTACTGCCCAAGTAGGTGAACTTGTCCACAGGGTTTAGGACTTGGCCATGTACTGTGACACAAGGTTCCTTGTAAGGTTTGCCGGGGCGTGGTTGGTACAAGACTTCCGTCTTTTTGGTGCTGATGATGAGACCAAAGTTGTCACAAGCCCCAGAGAACCTGTCGGTTGATATTTGCATATCCTGTCCGCTTGTGGCATTAAGGGCACAGTCATCGGCGAAGAGGAAGTCTTTCAGGACTGTGTGCTTCACCTTCGTTAGCGCAAGCAGGCGACGTTGGTTAAGTAACTTCCCGTCTGTTCTGTATTTGATGTCTATTCCCTCCTTGGTGCCGTGAAAGGCATCAGTCAGCATGGCTGTGAAGACAATACTGAAGAGGGTTGGTGCCAAGACACACCCTTGCTTCACTCCATTGGTCACTGGAAAGGCTGTTGAGTTTTCTCCATCGTCTTGGACACGGGCTGTCATACCTTCATGGAACTGTCGTATCATGGAGGTGAAGCGTTCTGGGCAGCCGAACTTGGCCATGATCTTCCATAGCCCCTCTCTACTCACCAAGTCAAAGGCCTTAGTTAGGTCGATGAAGGTGGTGTATAGATCCTTGTGTTGTTCTTGACATCAACAATGCAGCTATTGAACGTCTCCCACAGATCCCAGTTAACCAAGAGCTGGATATACTGCCGTCCCTCTCCGAGACTCAGAAGGCCATCAGCCAAATGAGCAACGGAAAAGCGCCAGGCCTCGACGGCATTCCAGCCGAGGTATACAAGTCTGGAGGACATGTGCTAACCCAGAAGCTAACTGACATCTTTTGTGCCATGTGGGAGAAAGGTACAATCCCCCCAGGTGCAATAGATCAGT